AATAAGTAAAGTTAAGAATATACTAAGAGTTAGAGGAAGTATAGCTAAGGTTTTACTAAATAAGTAAAGGTTAATAGTAACTATAATAAAGGTGCCTTATAAGTAAAAGGGGGTTAAATCCTCTTTTTTTTACTTCTTTTACACTTTACCCCTAAGGTTTAACTACTTTAGCTTTAAAAGCTTTACTATAATAGCCTTTACTACTTATTTACTTAGGTTAGCCTAAATAATTCTTAACTTACTAAAGAGTATATACTTAATATACTTATAGTTAATAAGTTTCTATAGGTAGTTAAACCTCTTATAGAGGTATTTAAAGTACTACCTCTTATCTTATAGTTTACTTTTTTTTAAGGTTATATATACCTTTATTACTTTATAGGATTTTATAGGTATTATTTATAGTAAATTACTTAGTAACTTACTATATTCTCTTAGGGTTATTTACTGTCCTTTATATTATTTAGTCTTTATAAGGTTATTTAGCTTACTACTTACCTAAGAGGAAGTAATTTACTACTTAATAGTGTATAAGAAGGTCTTAATTAAGAGAGTACCTTAGATCTTAAGGATACTATATACTTTAGCCTTTATTAAGGTAGTATACTATTCTCTAAGCTAAGTAGATAGGTTATTTATTAATAAGGTATACATAAGAATCTTATTATAATTATTATAGGCTATATTACTTACTATATTATAAAAAAAAGTATATTATTATTTAATCTCTAAAATAGTTATATAAAAGGTAAAGTTAATATTATTATTTAGTAATTATAGCTATATACCTTTTATAATCTTCTTTATAACTATAGTGTTAACCTAGCTTAATAATAAGTTATTTACCTTTTACTATTTATATATCCTTAGCTTAGTAAAAATAAATTACTTATAGTAATAATTTATTTTTACTTTATTACTTTATTATTAATAGTAAGTACTACTAGCTAAATAGGCTTTTAGCCTTACTACTTTACTTACTAGCTAACTAAGAGGTTATTCTAGCTTATAAGGTTAGCTTTATATTACTTTTAGCGTTTAGTGTTTTACTTTATAATGTATTTAGCTAGCATAGGTGCTCCTAGGTGCTTAAGGAGCTCCTCTTTACTGTCTAGATTAATAAATTACTAGACTTTACGTTAAGTAGCATAGAAGTAAAGCTTTATATACTATAGGAACTAATCTTTATATATAGTTAAAAGGCTACAAAGGTAAGTATTAGTTAGTAGACTTACTATTACTTCTAAAGGTATTATAGGCGTAAGATAAAGTTAAGAAAAAGTATTAGTTTTTAAGAAAGGTATTTCTAAGCGTATACTACTTTATAATAGTAAAGGTTATTATTACTTATAGATTAAGTTAAAGCTAGGCTTATAACTATTATTAAGTAGTATATTTAAGAGGTAATTTATATAGTTAAAAGTAGCTTATTTCTTTTATTTATAGTACTATAATCTATATTCTTTAAATATTACCTTACTTAGTAGATTCTACTATAAGTATCTATATTTAGGAGCAAAGGTTAAATTAATAAGTAATATTGTTCTAGAAAGCAGTGTTAATTAGTAATATTCTATATAACACTTATCTATAGAGGGTTTTTACTCCCCTATAGACCTACTAAAGGTCTCTTCTTCTTTTTTAAGAGGAGACAAGGTGTACTTATAGTAACTATAGTAGTTATATAGTAGTAAGACTACTATAGCCTTAGGGCCTATAGTAGCTATAAGGGTATATATATAAGCCTTACTAAAGGTAATAGTTTTATAAGATATCTAAAAAAAAAAAAAGTATTAGTAATTAAGTAAAAAAGTATAGTAATAAAAAAGGATAATAAGTTAGTAATTAATTATAATAAAAAATAATAATATAACTTATAACTATTATTATAGTTATTAAAGAAAAAAAGAAAAAAGTAATTATAAATTTAGCCTTAAGGTAAATATCTACTAGTGTATAGGCTAGCCCTATAGTAAGTAGCCTTACTAATAAGAACACCTAAATACTAATAGCCTATAATTATATAATAACTAGCCTTTTTATACTAAAAGAACTATTTTTTCTTTATATCTAGGTGTACAGTAACCTACGCTAACGCCTAAGGGGGTATATTATATAGGATATTACTAACTAATACTGCTTTCTAGAATAACATTGCTTATTAATCTGACCTTTGCTCCTGAATATAGATACTTGCGGCGGAATCCACCAAGCAAGGCAATATTTAAGGAACGTGGATTATAACACTATAGATAGAAGAAACAAGCCACTTTTAACTACATGAATTGCCCCCTAAACGCACTGCTTGATGATACCTTTCTTTTGCGTTGCCGAGAACTGGAGTCAGGACTGCCGTCCAATAAGGAACGTCGGGACAATTGGCTTGTTCGAGAAACCAGGGAGGATACGAGGAAGGGGGGGGGGCGGGAGGGGCGACAATCGTGAGGTTATTGAGCAAAGACTCGCTGCGAACGGAGAGAGAGGAGAAGGGCTTCTCGATAGCGGCCCTTCGGCGCCATTTGGAAATGCGTCACAACTCTGCGGCAACTCGGCCTCGTGACCCGACTTGGTGATTTCGCGTGCTGGTAATTCGCGTAACTATGTGACTGGCTGCGACGATGGACAGAAAGGAAAACGGAGCTCCGTTGGGGGAAGAGAGTCCCCCCCCCCGTGCCTTTTTGAATCGAACTGCACATGTTTTTTAGTTTAAATTTATTTTTTCACCCAAAAAATAAAATAAAAACATCCTTTAGTTTCTTTCCGATTGAGATTAACTTTAGAATCCAAACTTCCCTTCCCGTGCCGCTTCGTTGTTCTTCATGCTTCGCTTCGACCCTATCCCCCCCCCCCCCACCCCCCTTCTCGAAGGGTTCCGACGACAAGAAGGTGGTGGTGTACGGCATGGTGCCGGGCTCTCTGTCCACTGTGATACGGATGAGGCGTGAAAACCTGCATGTCGACTTCTTTGTAAATTTTTTTTTTTTTTCGGTTTCTTTTTTTCATAGTTGCGCGTCCGCTCTCGCCTCGAGGATTGGTGGAAACCAGCCTTGGCTTTTTTGGGTTTTTTGAGTCGGATACGCAAGCCAACACCCCCCCTCACATGCTTTCCGCTGATGGAAACTTTGGACCTTGATAGATGGCTCTGACAACTTTGAAGGAACTGGAATTCCCTGGCGAACGACGTGCGACGATGACACGCGCCCTTGACGTGAACTGAAAGACCCCCCCCTCGCGGGCTTGCCTACCCTCTCATCAGTGCCTCGGCTCAAAAAAGGAAGAAAAAAAAAAGAAGAAAAAAGAAGAAAAAAAAAGAAAAAAAAGAAAGAAAAAAAAGAGTTTTTGGCATGCCGTCAAAGCACAGCGAGCCGGCAAGAGTTTAGTTTCGGCACAGTTCACGAGTGATACAGGAGAAACCGTGTCTGCAGGAGTGGCTTGGGACGGCGAACGAATATGGCAGACTTTCTTTTTTGTCTTTCTGGGCGGCACAAGATTAGACCAGCCAGAACCATAGTATCGGGTTACGACCAAACAGGGCTATCCTGGCAAGGTGAATGCCATCTCCTACAGGCCCAGTCATTGAGTTTCCATGTTGTCTAGCGCGGCGTTCCAGGCCTTGAGCTTCTCAGGAACACCACATCCATTCTGTTTCCTTTCCGTCCCTCAGCCCCTCCTCCCCCACTTCCCGACCGTCTCATACCTCATTTCCGGAGCATGGCTGGCTTTCGGTGTGGTTACCTAATCGGTCGCCTGCCTGAGCCCCTCCCCCCCCCCCCTTCCACACCCCACGAAACCGCGCCTGGTCTCGACGGGCCCAATTCTTGTCCCCTCGGAGTTCACCATGTGAGGCAGTAACCCTAGAGACGAACAGAATCCGCTGACCGGAAGGGTTCCTACACTACCTAGATACGCTCCAAGTCGAAGGATGCTTTGACAAGAGGCGCCGAGCAGCGGGCGGCAAGCAGAGAAGGAAAGACGAAAAAGTCGGTGCCTCATCTCGCTCGTGATGCGCACCGGATTCGTGGGTCGTGTTTTGCGTCTGCAGCGACCAAAGCGTCGCAGGTCAAGGCCCAGCTGGCCGGATCGGCTGGCGTCAAAGCGGCTGCGCGCTGACGAGACTGACAGGACCCAAATATGTGTGCTATGCAGACAGATGCTAATTATGCGATCCTGGCTGCCTAGTCCAGGAACGACTGCGGACAGCGAATGGGGTTAAAAAAACCCCGAAAAGAGCGGGCCTCGTGCACCGGATTCTTCAATTGTCGCCGGCCCCGCAATTCGGGCGGCCGGCGCCGATGGGAGTGGAGACGCCGAGATGAGTGGAGCAAAGGTCCTCCGGATGGTGTGGAAGCGATGACCAGATTGTGTGCCAAGACACCGGGAGCCATGGGTGAGAAGCAGTCAGACTCGCTCCAAGGCCGCTGTCGGAGGCATGCGTGATAATCGCCGTCATCAGCGGGCTCCGGCAGCATTGTCCTGCGACCCGAGCCCCGTTGAACGATGCGGGCGAAGAAGACAGAGCCTGGCCGCTAGCCTCTTCCCCGCCGATTTGGCATCCCCAGGCGTCGAGTGGCCTTGGGCTTCTCCTCCTTGTTGTCGGCCGCATATGTGCTGACGGTGACCAGGGGCCGATGCAAGGCTCGGTGAATGGCGAGCGCTAGAGGGCGGATGCCTCGCATGCAGCCACTCAAGGGTAACTGCGTGGCCACAAGGCGGCGCGCGATGCAACATTTTCCCATAGTGATCGGTGTAACCACAATGCTGAGGCCTGCACCAGCCTCTGGGTTGCATTGCGTGTCCGGGTAGGTATTGGACGTAGGGCTCAAGGGTCCCAATTGTTGACTAAGCCGGCAGGAGAGGAAGCTTGGGGCGGCATTGCCAGCAGGCCTGACGAGTGTATTTCAAAAGGGTGCAAATATGCAGGGTTCGGCATCGAAGAGCAAGATGGTCTGTATGGGTCTTGAGCTGGCCATATCTTTGGGTATCAAGATGCCACTCGCAACCGCTCGTCGAGGGCGAGTTGCCGGATTGGGTCCGGATCAAACGATGTTACATTGAGGACGGACGAGCATGCCATACACACCGCACCTGCTATCGAAATCCTTGACCCGGGGTGGGTGCCACGAAAACAATACGTAGTACAGCATGGTGTAACGTGAGACGGCAGCTTGGACCAAATAACCCGCACGACCAGATCACGAGACGCTCAACGATTAAATGAGCGAAGCCGGCGCCTTCCGAGCTGGGCAAGCTAGGGGATGGTACGATTCTAACGTCGGAAGAAGAGCGAGCAGTGGCCGCTGCCGTCACGAGTTGACCAAGCGAATAAGGGGTGATGCGTAGGCGGGCCAAGGGAATACGGTGACGTGCACGCATCATCGAAACGTGAAACAGCGTCGAGCTAGGCTGCACGACGGGTTTCGAACGCTGAGAAAGCAATAAAACAAAAAAGGGTCGCGCCAAGATGGGTTTCGACAATCTGTCATGATCAATGCATGCATGTGCGTGCGTTGGTAGAATCTCACGGCCAAGTCTTGGGATGGATGAATTGGGTGGTCGGGGGCGTCGCTTCGATCCCTTTAGCCCCTTCAAGTCCGCTTGGGGAGCCTATAGATTGGGACACCTCAAAAGCAGGATTGACGTGTCCGTCGAGGGATCAACTGCGGGGAGCTTCTTACACGCGTTGCAGTCTCCGTTGTCGAGAAACTGCGTATAACGGTCGTGTCAACGTTTTTGGTGGCCTCTTTGGAGCATATCACGCCACCGTGCAAAGGGGAACAGACACTTTGGCGCTGCAGGTCTGTTTCCATGACAAGAAGTGATCTGGCAGCACGGCACTCCCGTCCGATCTAGCTAGCCGTGGCCGCGCCGGCGGGAAACGTCTCATGATGAATCTCACAATGAAGGCTGCTTCTATGCTTGCCATCGTTGGGCTCGGGCTGGCAAATGCAGTTGTGTCATGTCGAGAGATTGGTCAATTCGATCGGAGACGGGGTCAGACTCGCCAAGTCGTGAATGGGCGGCCGGCAATGGTTCAGGAACCGCTCTTGACTGGCGGCCCGGATTAGCGTGCTGTCTAGGGCCATCCCAGCGCAGTGGAAGTGGCAGTTGGCGGGCAACGAGAAGGATGCACCATGGACGGGTGATCTGGGACTGGGATGCTGTAGGTTAGCTGCAGATCGCTTCCGGTCCTGCATGGGGTGGCGTACGATGTGCCTTGTCCAGTATGAGTTACCCAGGTATCTGAGAAGCCGGGGAACCCCGTAGTCGTGTTCGGGGGAACAGGTGAGGGTAGCCTTGCGGGCGGAGACCTTGCCTGCCGGTCTCAGTCGAGAACTGTAAGCAAGCACAGGAAACGGCCGGCTTCCTAGGATTAAGCATGATGTCGGACTAGCTCGAAGAGAGACCAGAATCAGGATAGGTTGCCTAACCCTCAGTTAAGTTACAAAGTCATCCATCGACAATCCGACCACCTCGGCCGTTGTTAGAGTGCAGACAGTTCCCAAACCAGCGCTTAGGACATACTGGGCAGAAAACAGGACCATTAAACATTCGACGACCGGAGCAATAGACCCGAGGGACAGGACTGGTTAACTCGAGGTCTCGACGACTCCGCTGGCCACTAGCGTTGACCAGGCGGGTTTCGGAGCGGACGGGACGAGCAAGGATACTTCGGCCGACGGGGCTCTCGTTGACGGTGCTCGATGGTGATGGGGGCCTGCCTAGGTGTGCTGATGTCTCGACAATAGGCGAAAGACTCGGAGCGAAGTGGTACGAGACAGAGCTCACCAATCCCAAAGAAACGCGACGTTGCCCAAGATAACCCAGGTTTCTTGGACCTAGGCAGACGCGGCCCCGGGTCCTATCCCGGGCGCAGACGGAGAACGTGGGAGGGCTTCTGTAGGTTGAAGGAAGAGGGAGAGGAGGAGGAGGAGGAGGAGGAGGATACGATCACCGCCAGCGCTAATGCGGGACGGTGGGGGGAGGTTTCCATCCCAAGGCATCGGACTTTGCCATGCTGAAGGAGGTGTCCATCTACTTATCTAGATGTGTATCTGCTGACCCCGGCCTTTGGTGGATGTCCCCGAGTACTACCTGAACCTGGTCTGCGATCATGCCCGCCAGCCGTTCCGCTCCTCTGTCTACTGGCGCGCCAACGGGTAATCCATCTGACACGCCATTTGGACATTGACACTTACGGGGTCCTCTGTACGACATTCGCCGTTTCTTCCTCTCGAACTACCTACCTACACCCAACACAACACGCAGACAAGCACACCCATCCATGCGTGCGTAGCACACAGCAGCCATGGGTAGTTTGAGTACTTCACATGACCTTGTCGTAACACGGACTGCTCAATGGACCACACGGGGTCTGTCCGAGGCTTACACTACACACCAAAAGACGTATTCTACCCCGCCCCAGATAGATAGATCTTGGCTCTTCTGAGAAACGACCTCACGTTGAATTGGTCCGTCCATCTTCGCCCATGTCCCCACGACAAAACTCACCCTCCACTCGACGCTAGGATGGCGCAGCTACACAATGCATGCTCGCAACATCTCATGGGACGAAAGCCTCGACGGACGGGATGCGGGCGGCCATCCTATCTTTCCGCACCGTCCCGCTCCTCTGCCGTTGATTCGTCGAGGCCGCCGGCCCTGTCGCGACCCGGCAAGGTCACCACCATGACGTCGCCGCGTACCTGAGCGCTTCGGCCGAACTAGACCTGCAACCTCGAGCACGTTGACCCATCCACCACAGCAGGCATATGCCGCTGCTTCACTCTCTCGCTTGCCCGAGGGGGAAGGGGGAGGGGGGAGGGGCGCGATGGATGGATGGATGGATGGATGGATGGCTGGCGAAACCGAGAAGCTGTTTTCAGTCTCTGGGCTTCCTCGACGCATCAGCCCGCCGTTTATCTTCCTGGCCCCGCGTCTTGACCTGCAAGTCCACGGGTTTGTGCCAGCACTCGCTGTTGTGCCTCTCGACAGGTGCCCAGGACAGGCTCTTTTACCCTGCAAAGCCCTGCTTGCATGGTGGCGTATAACTGGCCGTTCAAAACATGCATGTTCGGGTGTTTTCCCACGTCTCTTTTGCTTAATCATTTGAGCCAGCCAGCGAGTGGGGTTTTTTTCTAATTCCTTTTTTTTTTTTTCTCGTTTTCTTATTCTGACCTTGAGATCGAATTTGGATATCTCGTATGCAGGTTTCCTCCATCATCATAGGACTGTAAGTTGTGTTACTGCAGCCTAGGGCGCCTTGAGCAACGTGCCCCATCCGTCTGGAGATTGTCTATCCTCTCGACAGCCATTCGTCCGAGAGCATGCCACACTACCCATGCTTCGCGATGCCACCTAGCCGAGAGGTCAACAACACGAAGCATCCTAGACGACCTCGACAGGGCCTACTCAGTCGCTCCCTTCTGGCTGGCAGCAGGTAACGGACATCCGACCATGCAGCAGGGCCACCGCCGGGTTGTGCCTTGCACACGACTGGCCATGCCCGGCTGGAGTGTGCCTGCCATGTGCACGCAGTCAGCCCCGGCGACATATGTCATCTCAGCCGGCGTCGTCTTCCGGAGGGCGTCCTATCTCGCCTGGGCATCAACCGGCTCTTGCAATCCCAAGACCGACACCATGTCAGAGCTACAACTTTACCAAGTGACCGGGGCTGGCTGGTCCCGGAAAGGCTGTGGTCGCCAACGGCCACACCTCCCGTACCGACCCTTCTTGTGTCGTTCCTCTTTATAAGCCTTTTTCTCCCCCCCGTATCCAGGACACCAAGGCCTGTCTCTCATATGCCCTCTGATTCCCCTTCAGTTCGTCTGGCCTGTGGTCGACTCTCCTTTCCCCACTCGTTGACTGGAGCCATTGTCAATCACCTTGATCGCAGAACGCCAGGCCGCCCTTGTCTGGTCTCACGCGTGCCCATCACGATGCGGACTCTCATCGCCTTGGCCTGGGCCAATGCTGCCCTGGCTCTCACAGTCACCTACGACTGGGAGGCTACTTGGGTGAACGCTGCTCCCCTCGGCGTCTCCAGACCTGTCATCGGCATCAACGGGCAGTGGCCTTGCCCCAAGATCGAGGCCAACGTCGGCGATACCGTTGTCGTTCGCCTTACCAACAAGCTTGGCAACCAGACCACCGGTATTCACTTTCACGGCATCAACCAGATCAGTACCAACCCGATGGACGGCCCAAGCATGGTCACCCAGTGCCCTCTGCCCCCTGACATGACCATGACTTACTCCTTCACCGTAAGCCCGCCTAAAGAACGAGATACTGGCCACTTGAGATAGTGGGGACTAATCAAGAATGTGTAGGCTGATGTGGGTGGCACGTACTGGTGGCACTCCCACAACATGGGCCAGTACCCTGACGGCATGCGTGGCCCGTTGATCATTCACGACCCCCAAGACCCCTACGCTGGCCAGTACAATGGGGGGGAATTCATCCTCGCCATCTCAGACTGGTAAGCCACTGACGGACGGGGGTTGTCTTTTGTGGGTGCTTCTAGACTAATTCGCTGCAGGTACAACGATCAGGCCATTCCTTTGGTGCAGAAAATGTTCCTTCCGAGCAACACTTTATTCACGCCACCTATTCCAGACGGCCTCCTTGTCAACGACGGGTTGGGAGCGAATTTCCAGTTTGAGAAGGGCAAGACCTATCGCATTCGCATGATCAACTACGCCGCGTTTGCCTCGTTCATGGTTCACTTTGACTCTCACGACATGAATGTGATCTCGACCGACTCGGCCTACGTAAAGATGAAGACGGCTTACATGTTGCGTATCGCCCCTGCTCAGCGTTACGACATCCTGGTCAAGTGCAATGATCGTGACAACCGCAACTACGGCTTCCTCATTGCCAGCGACTATAACCGCGACTACACCGACCCGACGTTCGAGCAGATCTGGCCTCACAACTACACTGGTCAACTCGTCATGTTCCCCAACATGCCATTCTATACCGACCCCGTCAGCGAGTTTCGCCCCTCTGATGATTCCGTCTTCCAGCCTTTTGATGATGTCGCCATCCTCCCCCCGCCACCAAGATCTTGCTTTTCGACTGGGACTTCTGCCAGGATAAGAATGGCATCCCCCGTTCCTGCGTCAACGGGTCCCCTTACGTCAACCAAAAGGTGCCGACCCTGTACACCGCCGCTTCCACGGGCGAGTACAACACGAACCCCGTCGTGTATGGCGCCGTACACCCCTTCGTCGCTCAGTACGGCGACGTTGTCGACATCGTCGTCAACAACAAGGACGCCGCCATTCACCCCTTCCACCTTCACGGCCACCACTTCCAGGTCCTTAGTCGACCTGCCACCAACGCGGGCGACTGGCCTGGCCTCGAACGCGCCCGCCTCAACCAGATGCCTCCGCGCCGCGATACCGTCTCCGTCATGGGCAAGTCGTACGTCGTCCTCCGCTTCGAGGCTACCAACCCGGGCGTCTACCTCTTCCACTGCCACATCGAGTGGCACGTCGAGATGGGTCTCACCGCCACCATCATCGAAGCCCCCGAGAGGCTTCGCAACCTCACCGTCCCCGAGGATCACCAGGCTGCCTGCCGAGCCCAGGGTATCCCGACGGCTGGTAATGCCGCTGGTAATACTGCAAACCCTCTTGACCGGACTGGCATGAGCTTGGAGCCGCCCACGGACTACGTCGGGTAAGTCTCTTCCCGCTTGACCTTCCCGAGTTGTATCCTCGACGAGTTAACCGATCGATTTAGTGCCTCCTGGAGTCCTGCCGCCGGGTCTGCTGCCGCCGGGCCTCCTGCCAGGCTCCGCTCGCGTGTCGCCCGCACTCGTCTCTAGACAGAAAGACGACCATCACCTAAAACTTGATTTATTTCTACTTTGTTTTTTTTTTTGCTTCCTTGCATGGAATCAGCGCCATTCATGTACATTCACCCATCATGCCATGTAAATACGGTGACGTTTGATTTGAATACATCATGGAAGAGCGAGGGATAACTGACGAACCGGCAAGGTTGAGGACTAATGTTCAATCACCAAAATGACGACGGCACACCTGTGAACCTTTCTTTTCTGTTCCCGAGATGCCCCTTATACCGCCAGTCCACCTTCACACGTGGCGTAGTGTTGCGAGAGTACTGGAGAAGGTGATTTCGGGAGGTCTGGAGATCCTAGTCAATTGAAAAAGTCATTTCTTTCCAACCGCCTACAAGGACAAACAGACATAGATAACTAGACAAGATTGAGGTAATGAGATATGCAGGATGACTCTCACAACATATCTTGGGCCACCCAAGAGCCCGTGAAGACTTTTCTCTTTCCCCATCTCTAGCGGGTTGATGAAGGGCATCCCCGAGGCCGTGATTAAGACCTTAAACTAAGGCCATTGGAAATCCAAGACTTGGCTGACCCGGGACGAAGTCATTTTTTTTGGATGCTCCGAATGATTTCATGGCAGTCGGTGACGTGCCGACAGTCTCCGCCCCTCGCAACAGACAAGAAGCTCGCTTCTCTGCACCCATCGTCACCTGGGAACTCAGAGAAACGGCTCAAATTGACGTCGTTGCGAGTGGCCGATCTTCCAACGGTTGGAAGGGGAAGGGAGGGGGTACGGGTTTAGAGTTCAGCGTCGTGAGTTTTTTTGCATTCACAACAGGACTGCTCCGAGGATACCCTGCCCATTGGCGCGTTTGTATAAGAAATGGTCCGATGGAAGCAACGTCAGGGGAGGGGGGGGAGGGGGAGGGTCAAAGAGGGGAGTTTGCTCTGAGTTCATCTTCCCTCGGCTCGAGACGAGCGACACATTTCAGGTGAGACGTGACCAAAGAAGAATGACGAGCAAAACCGGGAGGCCCGGCTGAGCCGGTGGGGGAGGGGGGGAAATGGAGAGATGAAAATGGGATGGGAACAAGAGGATAGACGAAAACAACAACACATGCGAACTTCGCGCATTTTTTGCTCTCATCTGGACGGGGTTCAAGAGCGCGAAAATGAAGAATAGTTTATAAAAACCTGCTGCTTCTTGTAAGGACAAGGAGCATCTTTTCCTGTTCGCGGGCTGCTTGGCGAAGGGGGGGGAGGGGGGGCGTTGGGCTGGGTTGAAGCAGTTTGCGGCTCTTTCGAGCAACTTGTGACGATTGTACGCAACGGTGACGTTAAGATATACCGCGAGCGCGGATAGTTTCTGCGCCTCGCTGCGAACTGGATCATGCTACGCTCTTGGACCCCGATCCGTCATTCCGGGAAGCGAAAGAGCATACTACCTATGTGCCCCCGAGCGGTTTGCAGAACAAGACAAGTCGCGTTGCGCATGTGGAAAGAGTTCGTTCCCGAGGCCCGGAAGCTGGGCCCACGTGATGGTCGGCGCGTGCGTGTGGTGATGCGTGCCGAGGGCTTGGGAGCGGTGCCAGGGGGGATGGGTACATGGAGGGGGGGGGGGGGGCGCCGCGAACTCAATGGTGTGTCGAACTACCGAGATCTAGTTGCCGGCATAGACGAGTATGGATGAACGGAAGGTTAAATAGCCGCCAGGGGTTGATATGTTCTCCAGCCCGCAAGTCCGAGACATCTCGACGGAGGCGCCGAGACCTTTTGGGGATTGCCGTAGAGGGGGGGGGTGTGCCCGAAGGTCAACGAGCATCGTTCCATTTCCTGGCCAAGTCATTCTCAGAGCTCGAGGCTCGTATGGAGTGCTTTGGGCTACGGAGTGTTCCTTGTCTCCCCCCCCCCCCCCCTTTTATTTTATTTTTTCTAGGGGATTTTGCGAGACCTCGGAGCGGTCTTTTGTGGCGTCGAGTCGTGGAGTTGAGGGCGTAGAATGCGAACCGGGTGTGAAAAGTCGAACGTAAGAGGAACTAAGCAAAGGCTTATTTTGGTTAACGATGAAAGCATCGCCGTTTGATATCGAAGCAGGGGGGGGCAAGTTAAATGAATGCATGTTTGAACCGAACATATTGTTTTGATTTGCTTACCCCCTTTTCTGAGTTTGTATAATAACGAGCGGTAGAGGGGTGATTCAACGAAGTGCCTAGAGGTACTCGAGTATCATGAGGGAAATAGTGTCATCGTGAGTCGTGTCGGGAACATCGACCTCAGGCTTGGGTTCCATGTTCTGCTAGGGACGTCGAGGGCTGACAGGAACAGGAAGGGTAGACAGAGAAAACGCGGGTTGTGGATAGACAGAATGGTAGTGGCGATGTGAGAACTCGGAGACTGTGACGGGAAATAGACGAGTATTTCGAAGAATGAGAGAAGGACTAGAAAGAGGGCGAAGACGGGTTAGTCCAAAGTGATTTGCCACCGCCCTCAGGGTTATATACCTCCAGTCTCAACCTCTCTTCTGCAGTTGGCAAGAGGGCTAGGCGGAGACATAAACTCACTTACACTAGATGCGTAGCCTGTGCAACCTCCGTGATCTGCAATTATGGAACCCCGTAGCGTGGCTTCTGAGCCTTCCCATAGGCCATGGCTCCAGCTTGGTCTACTTGCGTTGTGAGTTTTGTATGAGCATACGTGGGTGCGCATATGCGTGTGCGGTGTGGGATGCGCCTGCAGACCTGTGTTTGTATGTGTGTGTGTTCCATCCAGCGCCCCCTGCTTACACCGGGACCTGCAGGGTCGAGGTAGAAGGACAGCAGCAGCCGTAGAACGACGCGAGGAAGTCTCTGGGAATCCGAACACAGCATACACGGATGGACCATATGGCACAAAGCCCATGTAGCGGTTCGACAAACCGGGAGGTCGCTCGAGACCCTCAACCTTTGTGCGTGGGAGCCTCAGCCTCGCACAGGTCGTCCCGCGGTGTGATATTCCGAGGGAGACGACAAACGGACGATCTCGAGAATCAGCCGCAGATCGGCGGAAGCGCCATGCGCCGGTATGCTTCCCACGGTCTCTTGTGAGGCCGCAGCACTGGGGGGGCCCGCGATAGGTGGAGTTTAGGAAGCAGAGAGAAGGGGCAGAGGCGGAATGACGGTCTCGGGCTGGCGAGAAGGGTGGGACGGCGGGATATCGCTTTCCAAATAAGGAGTAGATAATGCAGAGGTGAGATATTAGTCTCTCTATTCCCGTCGAAAGCGTCAATGACGGCTATCTTCCTGCTGCGTGACGTGAAAGAATCAGGCAGCCGCAGCGGAAGCGGGAGAAGCGTCGGCAACGGGAGGACGGAGGACGATATCCCTGGGCTGACGACCCAGTAGGAGGAGGCTCCGCAGACCGCCCTCTATTTGATTTGCAATGTCGTATCCGGAACTGGACGGCCACCCCGTGTCATCCTGCAAGGCAGCTGAAAGCCCGACACTCTGGACCTGGCTTCGGTCCTTGGGTCGGAGGAATCTCCTTTCGCCCTCCCCTATTCCCGCAGAGGGCAGAGCTGACAAGGGTGAACATGGCTGCCTAGAGAGACTTGAAGTTTGTAGAATGGGATTATCGAGTGGCTTGCAGTTCTGGCCACTCTTCCTTCCGAAGGTAGTCTTCATGTGCTTCCGTTACCCAGCCTCTTTCGTAAGCACGATGTTCCCCCGCTGAGCATCCCGCACAGAGGAAACGATAAGCGGCCCAAAGATACCGAGTAGCTCATAGAAAGCGTTACGTATCTACCATCATCCGCTAGAACCAGAGTATCGGAGAAACGGGCTGACGGAAAGACGGGAATCTAGCGGGACCCGTCGAGCAACCCGTTGGGCAAGCCCCGGCTGAACCAGAAACAAAGCATCGGTTCTCGTTCCTCGGATATAATCAAGACTTCAGACGTCAGACATGTGTGCGATCTTGTACGTTGTTTTCATGTTTGAGGGGAGGGGGTACGAGTATGGATTTGCCGTAGCCAGCGAGCGGGACTTACGGATGGGTTGCGGCAAGGGTGTGATACTATCCACGACCCCAGAGGTGTCTACATGTGGGACGCGGCACTTGGCTTGTCTGGCAACAGTAATGGGCAACATAGACGTCTCTAGATGGATCCCGGCTGTTTGGTTTCATTCCTTCTTCCCGCGGCGCTGGGATGGAGGTCAGACCGGAGAGGCAGCCCAGGGACTTATTCAGCAACGCAAAGAAGCAAGAAGAAACAGAAGGGAGAGAGATACAACGTAGAGCAAACGAAACTGAGTCGGAACCCCCAAGTCTTTCCCCAATAAGCATGCTCCTTATCCGCTGCTAACATGTCTCTGTTCTCGATCTAAGCCAAAAAGAGAAGCACAAAAAGAAAAGAAAAAAAAGAGATGTAAAGAAATGCAAATAAAATAAAGATATAAAAAGAAGATGGCGGGCAATAAGAAGGTGATGCGTGAGATATGACCCGCGCGGGATCCTTTTCCATCTTGTGTCAGAATCTGTACGCCTCGGGATATGGACAAACCAAGGCTAAGCGGCACGCCGTGCGCGCCGGATGCGTTCGGCCGAACTACAGCCGTGGATACAGCCAATCAGAAATGGCCACTCAGGACGTTGTGCTGATAGTAGGGTGTGGGACTTTTGCACAACTACATTCCCAAAGACGAAGTAGGTTCGAAGAGCCGCCATCAAAGGGCAGAGGGGGGCGTCTGCATGGATGGACCGGGGGTCCGGACACACAGGGTTTCTCTCAGCGGGTAGACTCTTCCCTTCTCGGAAGACGTGCTCTGCGGGCAATGGCACGGCGCAATCTCACTCGTTACCGTTGCCCCGTTAAAGTCAAGAGAGAAACATTGGGCTTGCAGCAGCCACTCCCGTGAGATCCGAATCTCGAGGCGGTCCGAGTAGTAAGAAAGGAGAACCTGACGAGATAATTGCGTAAGAGTCACCGCAACGCGGGTGCTCCCCCCAACACGATACATGTCGAGGAAACAAAGTGACGTCCAGACTCTCTGAAAGTATCTCGGAGATGGCCATAGTCCTCCATCCTTCAATGCGAGGTGATTAGAGAAGAAGGAGAGATCCGATAGAGTAGCTTTAACAATTACTCAGCGCCCAAAACTCTAGGTTTGGAAGAGAAATATCCAACTGTTCGAGCGATCTACACAGAGAACACTACGTTCCGGGACCAAAGACCAATGGTTTCCCAGACAAAATCTCCCGATTCCGAACCTACAAGAGCCCAAGTAACATGAAGAATAGCAGGCCCGAGATGGATCTCCGAGCCGAGCGGTCTCCTAAGAAGAAACGAAAGCGGGCCCGTCATCTTGAGATGCCGGTGATCGCCCTGCGTGCCTTCATCTCATATCGAACGGGGGCAAGTGCAGAGACAGAACGCCCCAGCACGGTAGGAAAACTTGATTGAGTTGGATCTGGCAGGAGTCAAAATGCATGCCCAGAAAGACTAGGAGGGGCGTGAGAGATGACAGGGACGGAACCCGTTGCTTCTCTTGGATCGCCAGGCCCCATGGGGTTGAAAGAAAAAAAAAAGACGATCTGCTCTAGAGATGGTGGGGGACGAGCCAGCCATACCAGCACTTGCGCTCTAGAGTCTTTAGATGCCCGATATTCAGACAGGCATGAACCAGCCAAGGACCGAAGTTCGGGCGCTAGGACGGGGTCGACATGCCCGATGTTCAGATGTAGTATGGGTGTTCATTCTTCTTTGGGAGCCCGCAGAGGAAGACCACACCAGCCATGTCCGTTGATGAGGCTGAAAAGCTTGCGCTTAGAAGGGGACGTGAGCGGACAAGATAGCAGAACCCAAGCCTTCATCCTCGAAACCCTATAGGGCCGAATCCGATCTCACCAAAGAGCACGGAGTTACTGAGACATCCAGAGACTCAAGTGGAAAAGGAAAGAGGATGGAACGGGCGAGCATCCTTGACGGCACCAAGGTCTCACACCCGTGGCAGCACAGGTAAGGCTGATGAAGAAGCATGTTGAACGACGTAACATTACCAGAGAGCGGCGAATAACAGCGTCGTTTGTCTTGGCCGACTCGGAAAACATGCAAGCCACGTCGTTGGCTCCTCCCCTGTGAGACCACCCACTCGGAGTTGAGTGCTTCAAAAACATGCGCGAAGAAAAGCCCCGAAGGCCACAGATGCAGCGTGGCATTTCTGGTAAGGTTTCGAGCGTGGTGGGGGGCAGACTCTTAATGTGTCTCTTTGAAGTGTCGCCAATGTAGGTGTTGGTGTCTCTGGTATCGTTTCTGAGCGCTATAATAGAGACATAAGCATGATTGCCGTCATGGTGAATCAAAAGGTTGACGGGACGGAGAACGGGGAACTCGGATGCCTCCATCCGCTATGCCGGTGGATGAAGGAGCCATTGCAACCTTGAGCCGAGCAAGCTGGGTTTAGGGTGTTATCAACGACAAAACAATAAGCATGAAGATCTGTGCGACGGATCGAGAGTCAGCTCAGAGCAAAGGCGCGTTGGATGATAGCCGGCGGCTCACCATCGAAACGAACGTCTCCAAAGTCCAAGTTTTTGCCCGTATGCAGAGTGGCCCTAAGAATGCGGTTTGAAGTGCCTTACAAATCCATAGGTCTTGGGGCAGACTGAGAATCCGTTGCAGCTCGGCTAGTCCGTTTCTGAAAAATTACACAAGCCGTAAAATGGCGTGAAGTCCATGGTGGTTCCGAGCCCATGCAGGCCTGTAGATGGACGGACCGCGGAGGTGCTATTTGGAGAGCGCGCTAGTTGGGAGAAGGATCCGGCCGTTGGTGACCGGGGGATCCTCCTAAGAGGGTTACGAGGTAATTGCCTCGACTAGCCCGGGATCACGTCCGGGTCATGGAGTGGAGAGAAACCGAGCGGCCGTGGGGAAGGGCAGGCGGCCGCGTCAACAGGAAGTACGGTCTCACGACTCGAGTGCAGTGGAAGAAATGATGGAACCACTGAACTGTTGGAAGCAAATTCATTCCCCTGTCAAAACTTGTTATCTGGACAACCGGAACAGTGTGGATCATGACAACTTCCCAGTGGCTTAAACACACCCCTCCGAACGACAGGCATCTCTGAAGGGTAAAGGAATGTGGTGGCACAAAAGAGTCGTCATTTTCGATAGCTCTTCAATATACGACTAGACTTCTGCTAACTAGAAGCTTCGTTTTCTTTGCTGTATGGCGGTGTATTTTCTTGACCTATGCTTTTGCCGATATGCACCCTTCGGCAGTTCAAGGGAGCAGCATCGGGTCAGCAAGGCAGGCAAGGGGATGTTGGTCCATATCAGCACTATCGGCAGCGCAATAGATTATTTGGGAACACCTTTACCAGTCTGGTAACACGCCATGCCGAAATCAGGCGCGCTAGAGCGACGAAGCGAGGCAAGCCATGCAGGCGTGGTCGGACGTCCGATGGTACAGCCGCAGGGACCGTGTTGGGCGGAATGGCCCCCCTGACGGGGTCATGCTTCGTCTTTCGACTGCACGTCTCAGAGGCCCGCCTGGACGCAAGGTCACCTTGGATAGGCTGAAAAAAAAAAACACGATGATACGGGCGGGCGGCTGTAAGATTTGGGCCGCCGCCGGATGCTGGAGCACGATGCAAGCAGGTAGAGGCCCAGTCAGGCGTAAGTCCAGGATCGATCCAGGACGGAAGCGCATGGCTGGGCCTAATCGGGTGCTGAGAAGCAAATAAGCAAAACAAACCAGTGTCTCCGCCTTCAAAACAAGTTGCGTTTGGCCGCCGAACTGGAAGTTGGATACAGGAGGGGGAATCGTGTAGTGGTCCGCCTTGGCCGATGGCAGAGTCCGGATTCATGAGACACGACGACACGTCGTTGGCAAATGGGCCAAGGCTGAGACCCAGGGCAACATCTTGTTGCAGACCGTTCTGTAACAAGGTAGTTTGCGTGTCATACAGGGCACCTCGTTCCCGGAAGGTGATGTGGTACTGATAAAACGGTTTAAGGCAAGCCACGGAGCGTGTCGTGGGAAATACGATCGACCAATACCATTGCTGTCCGGTGCATGCAAGGCTTCACGCGGCTGACGGTGGCATGGCATGGCATGGCATGGCATAGGGCGAGGTCGATTTCGATGCAACATGAAGGTTGACAGCTGTCGATTCTCTCGGAGCAGTTTGGCCAAGAATTCGTCCACAGACAGGGATACAGGTTAATTCTCGTTTGAGGCGTGGCGATGGATTAATCCACGGGTATAGCGGCACTTGACCGGACAGAATCATCGTATTCTGTCGCGAGAGCATTCAGTTAAGTCAAGCCATCGGATGTATTTCGGTGGGAGATTATGGCCTCCGTGGGGCATCCTGCATCTTCGGGTAGC